AAAAAAAAAAAAAAAAAAAAAAAGTTAATAACTAAGGTGTTGCTGTTTTAACAGTACACTTCCAATTTCCAAACTTTATGGTAAAAATTATATAAAAATACCTTATTTCTTCATTAAATTCAGTCTAAGCTATGGAGTGAGAATGAGTTCATAATTAATGATGCTTAAAAAACTTCAAACAGGAAAACATTTTTAAAAAAGTATCTTGCAAGAAACTGTAAACTGAAACACAAAGAGTATCTAATTTATCCAGGGTTACCTTGTTTCTGCCTACTTACAATTTGCCAAGCTGCTTTCCTCTGCATTCATCACTAACAACAACATCTTCTACTCTTCCTCTCTGAAAATATTTACAGTGTTTAAAGGACTAAGCATGTAGTTTTGTTTTAGTTAAATCAACAAGTGACAGTAAGAATTAATTGATAAATGTTTTGTAAACCTGAACTTTGCAAAATGCAAAATTTTTTAACTTACTGTTATAGAGGAGATAATACAATCAATCAATTTGTGACCTAATTTTGCTTTGTCTGTATCTTAAACCTTCCCACCCCATTATTTTAAAGCAAGTCTCAAAATCCACATCACCAAAATGTAATCTTGTCATGAATGTACTACATCCATCATCCTACTCCTTGCTTAATTGCAATTTATTTCAGACATCCAAATACAGTTTACTAATTTCTAGTACAGAAACCACACCAAAATTCATACTTCACAGAATAACTCCAAGTGTTTTCTATCATATTCTCATTGGATTACCTAGGTTTTGTTTTCTTTACTATTTCATGTGAGTCATGAGGAGTGAAGGAAATCTACAGGCATTAGAAGTGTCACAATTAGAACAGAATATATTATTCTGAACCCTTTACCACTGGGAAACTGATGGGAATTTGTGTTAATGTAGTATATTCAAAGTATTGTTTTTGAATAAAAATTAGCATTAGAGATTCCAAACATTACTGCCAAATTCCACAATGCTGACTTGATTTCTCTTTGTCTATACCAATTCTAACACCTTACAGAACAATTTTTAGCAAACAATTCATATTATTAACACATTTTCTTCCTCATAACTCTTAGAAGACAATGGGAAATTGACTAAGTGATTTCTAAGAAGCAAAACTTTTATTCTAGCCAATATTTAGCTCTCTCATTTTACAATAAAAAGCAATGGGAAAACAGACTTGTCTAATGGTAACTCAAAGTCGATTTTGCTAGAAAACACATATCCATTTTACCCATAAGCATTAATATGAACACATACCTTAGCACAGGAATGGATGAATTTATGTTCTATTATCAGAGTTGCTGTAGCAACTATCTGTCCTAAAGTTACATCTTCCACAACTGTAACATAATAATCCCCAGATTTCTTCATGTGCTCAAAAGATTCTGTGGAAATTGGAAAATAGTGTTATGTGGCAGACATTAAACTTTATTAGGTGCCAGAAAAATACTAGAATTAGCTTACTTCAATAAATATTATTAAATATTTATAGCTATTTTACCACAGTAATTTTAAAGAAAATATCAATTATTAAAAATGACCAAGTAGTTGAAATATCAGCAATCAATATCAACTGGAACATAGTCCATACATTTAAAAAAATCTTCTAGCAAAGTAAAGTAAGACTAATATAGCTATTTTAGATGAACAGCACTTAAAATACAAATAAATTGTACATGTTGCCATTTCTGTGATTAGTGAATGGAAACTTTTATATCTTCATTACTAGTTAACTTTAAATTGATTCCTTTAACGTTTTCACTTAACAGATATTCACACAGAACAAAACTCTTTGCAAATTTTAATAAGCAAGTTTATGTGTCTCCATTCTTTAATTTTTAGTCTTTTGATTTTAAAATAACTTGACAAAGTAGTTTTCAATTTTCCCTTTGTGCTCTCAAGTGTTCCATGATTACATGACCTGTTTTAGAAATAGAATCATCATTTTTGTTTGCTTTGAAAGCACCTTGTGAAGTAGATAAAGAAAGAAGTCTTCATTTCCCAGCTTTTCCCAAAGCCACATAGCAAACAGGAGCAAAAGTGGAATAAATATCTTCCCCTCAAATTGACTTTTAGTACTTATATTGATGAAATAACATGATTTTTCATCTAATCTGATAACGCCTGCAAAGAATAATTCAAGAATAAAAACTGAGCCTAACAGTCTCAACATGCTGTTTATTTCCACAGTCTTGTTCTAGTAATGGGTCTGGAGTGGGAAGAAATAAATTCAATGAAGGAAAAGAAACAATGAGAATCAGGAAATAATAATCTTCATCTCAGGAAGGTCATATAGAGTACAAAATAAAATTACCTATTGAAGGAAATGAAGAAAATAGGAAGACACTGTTAAGAGCATTGGATGGAGTCAGGAAGGTTGTAGTTCTTTTGTTACTAATAACTACCTGTGATCTTGGGTAAGTCATTTGACCTCTCTTTTAATTTCCATCCTCTCATATGTATTAAAAAGGGGGAGGGATGAACTAAAAGATACCTGCCAACCTTAAAATTCAATATAAATGAACCAAAAAATAAATTTAGAACATATTTTCTTACATTTTTGATTGGGTGATGAAATTTCTGTGAAATGACCTAACCACATGAAAGGTAAACACTACAATAAAAAATCTCTAAGGCTGCCACACAGGCTCTGTGCTACAGTAATTATCTAAAAGTAGCCAGGTATTTTGTAAAACATGGTAGTTGCTATATTTGGATTCTAAAACAGTTCAGCTACATTAAACATTTAAATAAGAAAATAGCTAATTTGTTATTTGAATAATTTCGAGCTATTTGAACAAAACCACAAGTAGACACTGAACAGAGCTCTAAACAAAAATAAAATCTTGTTTCCCTTTATTTCTTTTCCTTCAGGAAAAAGAGACTGTAGGACTTACTCATAAATTGTTCCGGGTTGACAACTCCAGTCTCTGTCAGCTGACCTAGTACCTTAAAAAAACCTAGTTTTGCAAAACAGATTTCAAGTGATGAGAACAGCAAATGAAATATATATCAAAAGAAGTAATGTGTCAAGATGGTGAGCAATTATTTTTTCAAAACTTTATGTAATGGACTATTTTAAAAGATTAAACTGAAACCCATTATTCTTTCTATTATCACTACATAAAACAAATAGTAATAGGTTTTACCAATGTTTTTGCCTGCATAACATTTTTGGAATAGTGCTGGCCTTAATACTCAATATTTACAGAACCAGCATGTACAGTTTTCAATGTAATTTGCATTATATTCAACACAAGGGATGCCGAATTTTCCCAAATATGTGCTTTGGTTTTACTTAAAAATGCAAGATTCTCATTATGACCAAATATGATACTATTTGTAAAATAAAATATAAATAACATTGAGACTACAGTTTTTAAAGATTCCTGATTAATCTTATTAATGTTACTTTAAATTAATGTGAATAGCATAGAATGTTGAGAATCTTAACTTCTATACACCCAATAATTAATTTGACCAAAATATAATAGTTTCTTAAGATTTCTACCAAGAAGAAAACTGTAAAAAGTTGATTTTTGATTACTGAAATTTAAGGAAATCATTTTGGAGAATTTAGATGTTAAAAAAAAGAATACATGTAGACAAGACCTTTTGCAACATCCAAGGCAAATTATCTTTATCCTCATTCCCCATCCAGCTTCTTAGAGAAGATTCTTCCTTGTGTGTCATTATACAAGATAATTTCCCCTTTTTGGCTGCTTAATTAGGAAGAAACACTGTTGTACTTAAGTCATTTGAAATACTGTAATACAGTACTGTAATACAGTAACATCTGGTCTGTACCCATTGGAATTGAGTTAGTCACTTTAAAATTTAAGCACAAAGAATAAAAGTCCAATAGTATTTTTAAAAATTATAGGCATCATCATCGTGTTTGTGGAGAACACAGAATGCTAACTATAAGTCTAACCAGAATTTGTAAACTGAGTACATACCTCTATTTAAATCAGCAGTACAAAGAGGCCTCAAAACCAAACCTTCTCCAGGATGTGTTGGGGAAATAGCTGGAGAAAATGTAGCTGTATTCTGACTCCAATCCACTTCTTTGAGTAGACTTGGGTCAAACATAGGCGTTTCATCAGGTTTCATCTTTGCAGTAAGGTCTAAAATAAAATTTTAAATGTTAAGCCATTTTGTTTAATAGAAAATTATTGATTGTCAAGAACGTCAATTTCTTTTTTTTTTTTTTTTGCGATATGCGGGCCTCTCACCCCTGTGGCCTCTCCCATTGCGGAGCACAGGCTCCGGACGCGCAGACCCAGCAGCCATGGCTCACAGGCCCAGCCGCTCCGCGGCACAAACCCGTGTCCCCTGCATCGGCAGGGGGGGGCC